TATATATTGTCTATGTGAAATCGGCGCATATAAGTCGTCCCGTAAAGATCGCGGAGAAATCGTGCCCAAATTATCCATTGATGATTATACCGAAAGTATAGTCTTTTTAGATTGCCTTAATTTCTAGGTATCGTTAAGTCGCAAAAATTTTCTGGAAACTTTCAGCTGTGACGCTGACGTGTCCGAGGAGAAAATCGTTCGCGGCTGGAGTACTTTCGGCGACGACACGTGAAATATATTTGGTAACTTAATACGGGATAACTAATGCAGAGCATTCGCTTACTCGAAACTGAAGAAAGAAAAACACATAAAAAACTTGATAAACCTTACGATTACATATTTAACAGAACGCTTCATATATTTATCGAAAATAAGATATTTGATGTACATTTTTCGATGCGACGCAAAAACAATTTTTTTTAGGCGGATAATATTTATACAAGTCCACTAATTACAAAACAAAAAATAAAAGCACGGCAGCACAATTTAGATTAAGCGCTTTGTCCCAAAATAACACAAAGAAAAAAAATAGAAGAAAACATTGCTATTTTGTTTTACGTGAAATTGCAAAGTCGCACAGTGTGTTTTTTTTTTAAATATTCTTTTCGTTAAAGATCCAAACTCAACTCACTCATGAAGCTCTCAAGGAATTGACCTATACGTGAGGCGTAGTTTGCGCAGTTTTATCGTCTTCACTCATCTTGTTTTACAGGAATATGATAAAGCTGGATAGCTATAGCACCTTTTCGTGTATGCTATAACTTTACAAACATGTATAAGTATTTACGGGCGAAAAATGAAAAGTAAAATTCGGCACGAATTTTAAGCGCGGAGAAGAAAAATAGAAGTATGTACGTGAATTATAAAATTTATCAGTGTAATATCCTTCGCGCACGATTTTAGTATACGTTCACACTTTACAAACTTTAATAGTTCTCTTCTTTCGTCGTTCATATAATGCCCGGCCTCTCTAGACATTTTATTAATCATTTATTCTTACATTATGCGCTGCTGTGCAGCACCGGAATACCTCGCGCAGCTACCCTACAAAACTCGTAAAACAAGCAAAAATAAAGAAAACGAGTATAAACTAATCGACTTCAACCATTAACAATTCATTTATGTTCTAAGAGAAATCGAAGAAATACGTTAAAGAGGGGTTTAATTTACAAATCCCAGATTGGCGGCCGTAAATAATTATTTGCAATATAGGTTGAAACATATTTAATGAGTAATAATTGCTGGTTATATTCACGTGAAATTGGACATAAACACACAGTACTACTTATACTTCATTGCATTATTTATGAATCAATAGACTAATATACTTAATAATTATTAGACTAATTATTAACCTAAGATTGTGATCACCCATCAACGTCAGCCATTACCTAAGCAACATTCCCTATTTTTTACTTTTTGATATATATAAACGAAACAGTAATGTATAAAATTTCTCAAACAAACCAAAACTCCTAAGAAGACGTCCTGGACCGACTGACCGCACCAAGAGTTCTGCCTTTATGTAAAACGAGCTTCATATTTTCGCAGAATTTTCCATTTAAGTAAATTAATAAACATAATATAGAATAATCATAAACCGTAATAATCATGAAGATAATAATAGGTAATAATAGTAGTAAACTGGCAGCAGTTAGTAACCAGGTATATTCTCAATTAAAATTCTCTCGCTAGATGACAATCTGAAACTTACATGGCACTGGCATCCAATTACGAATCAATCACTCACGCGCACACATTCTAATTTGCAATCTTTCGTTTATTTGTTTTGTCTGATATTCGTTTCTTTTCTTCATTTTTCTACCTTACCTCGACATTCAGCTACAAAACAATTTTACTGTCGCTCTTGCGCGCTCACTCATTCATTCTCTCGCTCGCTCACGATCTTACACGCTCGCTCGTTTCACCCCTCGACGTGCGAATCAGCTGCCAGATAATTTATCTCGTTTTCTGCGTGTTTTTTTTTTATATTCTGTTTGTTTATATAGTTATAATAACCATTTTCCCAACGACTACACACTAAATAGTTCAAATTTTTTGCACTTTTTCACCAACAACAACTGGATTGTTGCGCCGAATTTCTTGAGCGCCCATTTCTTTATAATCGAATTTGCAATCGTGCTTGTCACTGTATCGATGCACGGCGCAGAATAGTCCTCCACAACGGCACTCAAATCCTGCAAATTTATTATTGTCAAAACAACTCCACGCAACATCACTAACTAATCACATTGCATCGCACTTACCAGTCAAACCAACTTTTTTACGACATACAGCACAACGATTTTTCTTCTTCTTAGATTCTTTATCAGTCTCTTTGCCATCAAAGGAGTCATCTACATCGCCACTACTCGCCGATGAACCTTCAGCTACTGCACTGCTTACACCTACTTCACTTTCCGGATCTTCTCTGTTTACCTGTTTGACAGAAGTAACACATACCATATAAAAATAATGAAAATAATTATTTATTGTTATAGTTATTTTTTAAAAGTTTCCTTTATATTCTTGATATCTCTTATGGTATCCTATTTTAAATTTAATGGAAAGAATTGCATGTTATTATGTTACAGAAACATATAAATCCTTATATTAATTAATAATTGATTAGGTATAAATTTGTCTACATCATTTAGAAAAGTAATAAATATAACAAATAAAACAGATTGTTCAATAAATTTTCATCATAATCATTATCAGAATTTAAATGTTTCAATTAGGTATATTGTATCACTACCTCTTAAAAATACAGATAATCTATTTTTATAGATAATATAATTATATAATTTTTCTCTTATCTACAGTCCATGAATTTCTATAAGATAAACTTTCATTAAAACAATGCGAAAGAAGCTATGATATATGCTGCAGTTTAATGTCTCGAACAATTTCTTATATTCTTTCCTTTGGCTGTTTTGAAAGTTTTATTATGTTTTACAGACTAAAAACAATTTGATGTATACGACCTTGTGGGTTCAGGACTGCTTATAAGCGCTATTTTCTGCAAATTAATGGAAAGAACAAAGGCGTTACGTTTGTGCAGAGCAGCTATGAAAAAGAGATGGTAATACTCACTTCTTTGGGACTGGGTAGATCCGACGTTGACTGAGGTATAGTAGGAATGGTAGGTTGGGCCGTCGTTCCTGTAGCTGCTGGGCTACCAAAACTGCTTTGCAACGTGCCAGCGTTGCTGGAGACAGTCTGTGAGGTTGGTACGGTGGCAGCTGACACTGGTGGCTGCTGCTTCTTTTTTAGATTTTCCTTATAGCAAAGGGAACAAAGGCCATCAGTAGCTGGCGAGCCATAAAATCCACAGCCACTGCGACACAGAGCTTGCATAGGATTAGACTCTCGTTCCATAACTCTCGTCTTTTATTAGTGTACACTCTTCGTAAATCAAGGAAACTTCTGTTTATATCCTAGTTGCGATCACTGCCTTGAGAAACAGTGGAAAGTTGCAGTCAGCTTGGTGTAGGATAACTAGGTGTAGTCCTTTGCTGCGGCTCTCTTCCCAATTGCTCCTCTACAACCGTGTGTCACCATGTACTCACCTGTTTAAAAGTAAATCATGCAGTTAAGCAAAGAATAAAATAAAATGCCAATCAAGATTTTATATTACAAAGTTTTAAACTACAAAACTTATGCATAGATAATATAAACTTGTTACGCATAAAAGCGTAATTAAAATATATGCAAATATAACAACATTATCATCTCATAAATTTAATTTTTATATTTAAATGTCTGAAATAATTATTTTTTATACATGTACATCAAATGATTATTTTTTATACAAGTACATCAACAATAGTATGTATTGAGAGAATGTAAAGTACGTTAAAAATTAAAACGCATCATAAACAAGAATGACAAAGCCAAATCACAATCGAAGATCACAAAGAGTACCGCACTTCGTAAATATTAAACTTGTGTTACAACAATTAATTCACAAAATATATTACATTATCTCGATCTTTTTTATGACAAAGAAATAAACGCGAAGACAACACAATTAAAAGGAACAATACCAAAATCACAGGTATAAAAGCTACAAAAGAGGAAATCCGAGACGATGACGTTTTTAAATTAAATGATAAGGATGATGAGCGTTTAAGAGAAGAAAAGCAGATAAATTTTCGAAAATTTCAGGTAACACAATGTGTACTTAACAAGAAAATGGGACTTCTCACAATTTCTCCTGCTTCCTGCGTCATGCAAGGTCAGAACATAAATATCTTCAATGAGGCATGCCCTTGGGATCTGTGGACACGCCGAGGCACTCCGAATAATAACCGAAATTTCAACAAAAGGAGACAACAATGTGGGAGAAAAAGGAGATCCGATGCTCCGACTGCGAGGCTAAAACGTGAGCGCGACAGAGAGCGAGAAGGCGAGAGAGCTCTGGTGGGAGCGAGCGAGAGGGCGAGAGGAAGAGGGGAAGCACAATTCCTAGGAATTTTTACTACGTCATCTTGGCGATCTGATATTTCGTTTTCCTTCCCTTTTGTTCCGCAGCTTTTGATAAGGCAGCTTAGGCAGCCAGGGGCTCTCGGGCAGCCTGCAGCCCGAGAGAGAGATCGTCAACGAAGACGATGGGACGGGAAGGCGTGAATCGTGATCGCGCGCAGCGTTACGATATTACTCACTTTCCAACACGCAGTCGTGTCGCAACCGATGCACAACATGGAGTAGGAATTTGTGCGAGGCATTTAAGTGGCGGCAGCCCGATCCCCTTTTCGCGGTCCCCCCTCACAATAGGACTGTCGGGAGAGAACCGCCTGTCTCTTTCCCACGTCACGATGGCTCTCTCTCTCTTCCTCGTTTTATAATCCTCCCGCGGCGCACTTCGCGCAGCACGCGAAATCACCAACGAAACGGGGCAGCCTTCGCCTCGCGTTCCCGTGTTTCCCGTGCGTGGTGGTGGTGCGTGGTGGTGGTGGTGGTGGTGGCGGCGGTGGCGGTGGCGACGACGGAGGCGGCGATGGACCAGCCGTGGGGGAATACGGGCCTGGGACGGGGCCCGGTGTTGCCGCGCGCGGC